TCGCGGTGGTCGCGCCCGGAACGATTTTCTCGAGAAACGGGGTCTACAACACGCGTCAATCGCCCTGCTACCGAACCCCGCGACGTTCCTCGAAGCCGACTTGCTGTCGCTTCCTGCCCCTCGAAAACCACCGACTCTTTTGCCCCGCACCCCGTCCAATGCACCGCGAGAACAACGGAAGGGTCTCTTGCCCTTCGACCACTTACGCACACCATGCGCTTCTCTTTTCTTTGTTCTCTGGCCGCTTGGACGCTTGCGATACGGCAACTTTCTTGAAATTTCGCTCCGCCATTTGAATACATTCCTCAAACGCGTCGCGATTTCTGCCTGCCTGTTTTTACGGCGCTTTCTCCGTTTTGCACGTCTCTTGGTGCCGTCTACGGAGCCTTTCGCCCATCTCTGATGCTCACCAGCACCCACATGCTCATCTGATTTTTCGCGCGGACTGTCTGGATAATTGCCTAGCAATCTCTCCTTCAAACACTGCCGCGTACGATGCGCTTTTCTTTTCCGGCGGTTCGGACGCACACGATACAGACCCGTCAGAGATGACAACGGCACTTTTCTCGCGATTTTACCACGCCGTTTGAAACCCTTACTCAAACGCGTTGTGCTCATCTCGAGCTTTGCCTTATTGTTGCCCTTCGGACGCTTTCTCCCCTGTGCACGCTTCTTTGTGCGGACCTGGGAGCCTTTCGTCCTACTCTGACGTTCTTCATCACCGATATGCTCCTCCGCCATCTCGCGCGCCCAGTCCTGATGATTGCCTATCAGTTCATCGTAAGACCGCGGCCGCGTAGATTGCGCACTTCTGTTCCTTACTCTCCGGCCGCTCAGACGCCTGCGATTTAAGCCAGTCAGAGAAGACAACGGGCCTTTTCTCGCAAATCCGCCACGCCGTTTGAAGGTCCTCGTCAAACGCGCCGCGCTGATCGCGAGCCTTGCCGCGCTTCTGTTTTTCGGACGCTTTCTCCGTTTGGCACATTCCTTGGTGCCAAACCTGGAGCCTTTCGTCCGCCTCTGACGCTCATCAACATGGTCTACAGGGCTGCAAGGTTCGATGGAACACTCTGTTAATCTTAACTTCGTTTCCCCCACCACGGAACCCTCACACCCTGCTGTGACCGCGAGCTCTTTTCCCTCAGAATGGGTTAAAACCTGTTCCATTCCCTTACAGGCACTAGCCTTCTCTTTGGCCTCAAACGGCACCGCCGCTATATCTACAGATATCAGACCCGCAGCACTCTCTTCGGCCCCAAACGGCACCGCTGCTGAAACGCACCGTTCGTGCGGTACATCTGCAAATTTCTGACCTGTAGCCCTCTCTTCGGCCTTAATCGGCACCGCCGCTACGTCGCACCGTTCGTGCACTTCATCTACAGATGTCTGACCTGTAGCCTTCGCTTCGGTCTTAAACGGCACCGCCGCTACATCGCACCGTTCGTGCGCTACATCTACAGATGTCTGACCTGTAGCCTTCGCTTCGGTCTTAAACGGCACCGCCGCTACATCGCACCGTTCGTGCGCTACATCTATGGATTGACCACTCTGCTGCAATGCCACCAATTCACAATTAAGCCTTTCTATCTCTTCATCTAATTCCTGCATCCTTTTATATGTTCTTCATGCCTGCGCTCAGCTTCCAATTCCTCCTGGCGCCATTTTTCCTTTCTTTGCGCCCTTTGTACTTCCTCCTCCTGGTCCAATAAGTACATATTCCCGAAGTGCTCGATTTCCTCATTGTCACTATTGCTTTCGAGAATCACTTCGCGGAGTTTAGAAGCAGGCATATCATCATTAAAATCTAGCTCCAGATCCCAACACAGGTTCAGCAGGTTCTCTCTCGTCAATCTCGTAAGATCCATGGCGACTACTTTGCTTTGGCTCAGCTGTGACAAAACACAAACCCACCAGCGCTTCAATTCTGGGTCTAGAGAAATTGAAGCCTGGCAAATCTCACAGCGGAGACCACAAGCTTAAGCACCCAAGTAGCACTACGTGGCCAACATCCCTCTCTACTTTTTCTTGTTAATTTTTCACTCCTGCTTTTTACAACATCCTAAAATTTAACCCGCAACGTACCCTTAGAAATTTTGAAACATTACCCCTTGTTCCTATTGAATCATCTAAGCTTTCCTGCTTTAGCGTACTTGCTCAGATAATCATCCAGTGCTGCCTTGTGCTGAGATAACAACCACAGTGGCCAGGCAGTTGTTGGTTATATCTATCTTTTAACGAATTTAGGCTAAAAGACTCGATATATCTCAAGCACAAAGCCAGGCACTCACCCCATTACGTGCGGTGGTGGTACGCTGCTTCGATCCCGCCGAGTTCCAGGGCTTTCGGCTGGCCTCCGGTACATGTCGCTCTCCGTCGCAGACTCGTATCCCACCGCTGCCAACCAGTTGTTGCGACCGGGGTTTCCAGACACCGGAGGTCCGGGATGAAGTTGTCGAGGCAGGAGGAAGAGAGACTTGAAGAGGGTTTATTTACAATATGTACATTGCGAACTCCCTACACGGTGAGCTCTCAAACGTGGCAGGCCTCTACATGTCTCCTAACATAGCGCTACATGGTGCTTGGTTCTACATGGTTCTGCTCGGTTCTGCTCTCGAAAAAAAAGCACACGAATGAGCCGCGGGGGCTCATTATAAAGGGTCTGTCCTCCCCAGATCCCTAGATCGGGGACCGCGTACAGAGGGCACCGTCCAACCACGGATCACACATTACCCGCGAGGGTGACGAGCACGCACGGTCCACGTGAACGTTCAAAATTGAAGCGTGGTCACTGCACGGCCATGTGGCACGAACGTGGCTCCTCCTCGTCAAGGGGTGTCGCTGGGCGAGGGGTCTGAAGTTGATGACTGCATCCATCGAAAGGGCCGCCGTAAACAAGCTTCAAATGGTCGCCGAACGACTCGTTCAATTAGCGGGACGATTTCCGGCCGCCGCCGCCGCCGTCATCTTCCAAAGAAGAAGCGGCACTTGTGGTCTCCCGAACTGCTCACGGTGTCGCGGCGGCAAGACGCCGCACCCTCCGGCCAGGGGGGAACAATACATGGCGGACACAGGCCGCCAGCCCGTTTGGCGACTAAAAAGGAACATCAAAAGGAACGCCGATCCATTGTCAGACCTGGCGCCGGTCCTAACAGTAGGCAGCCGGTCGTTCGGTTACTTGTTTGAAGATTAAAGGAGCGCCGCTCCCTCTTCCGCTCTGGCGCCGGTCACAACAGCGGCCGCTGCTTCGCATCTACACATGGTTCTCTTTAGCGGTAGATGGTGTAGTTTTTCATCATGACTAGTATGAGTACCAGTGACTGTACTGACGACCTGTGCTACTGTGCTACGTGACCACCATGTTCCACTTATGGCGCAAACCGTGTCCGACATTTAGCTTAATTCTCAATTACTAAAGCATGTCTGGGTATAATAGTGACGTTTTTGACGTTTTCAAGCGTCGAACATTCCTTCTGACATAGCGACATAGCCTTTATTTGACTGTATTGTCCCTTTATAGAGTGTCCCTTTCTTTAGTGTTTCTTCATGATGAACTATCGATGCCTTCGAATCGTACGAGAAATGAATGTCGTTATGATAACAGGTTGTCAATTCTGACCTGTGTTCTGACGTGTGTTCCATAGTTTTCCACAGGGTTACTCCCTGTAGTTTCTGGACTCTCCACGCATATTAAAGGACCCCTGACGCCAAATTTGGAAACTCGAGATGCTTGTGTTGTTTGATAGTCCTACAGGTGGGGCCACCTCTGACCAATTATTAGTGGCGAGCGTAGCCTAGAAGATATTTTAATTTGGTTTTAAAGCAAGGGGGCTTGATCTTCCGAGTATTCAGGTACAATCAAGATTTTCTGTGGTTTCGCGTAGACAGGGGCACCCCTCGTGACGTTGCAGAGGTGAAGAGCATTTGTGGGGCGCGACAGGCACGCGGTGAGGAGCCGAAGACTTGTGTTTGCCACCCCCTCTCACTATGTTGTCGGGCTGCTCCCAAGGAGGTTTGGGCTGCTTACGCCCGGAACGATTTTCTTCTTTTTTTCTGAAGCGGACACATTCAAAGCGTCCACATCATTTAATTCTCCACCGCCCGCGGGCTCTGCTCCACTGTGGGGCACTTGTTTCTTGAGGTATTGAGGCGGTCTTTTCAAATGAACGCAGAATTATTCTGAATCAACACCACTAGCATTAGTTAAGCGGTATGTTAGAGCATTTGCGATATAATTTCGGCATTATCAGACGCAAAGCTACAAATTACTGTAAAAAAAAACTCGCAAACAAAATTTTTGCTGTCATGGGTCCTTTAACACAAATGACTGCGTTAGAAAATGTTCATAACTCCGCGTTCCCAGACACTCTGATCTGGCATAAAAAAGGAGGCAGGAATCTCGGACTCAACAGTGCCACTTGGCTAAACTTGGTTTTTCTGTTACGAATCAAACATCTTAAAGGTTGCGTCAAACAAACAAAAAGTGTCCCACTGCACAAAAAAAAAAGCCCTTTCATTAGCAGTATTAAAGCGAAACGATGAACAAGGGGGAAACAGTGGACGTTACGTTTGGAAGCGCCATCCCGTTTTCTTTTTGTTTTCCGCTTCCTTTTGCGCTGCACACTAAGTGATTAGTTCATAACAACTTGCGTCAATCTTCATTCTGCAATACATTTGCAGATGTCCAGGTAAAATAAAAACCAATCTGAATTTGGTGCTCCTATGTCATATTCATTTCGGACCACGGTAACTAAATTTCGTTGCTCACATATTCATTTGTGTTTTTTTTTTCCTAAGTAGCACCAGGTTATCAAAACGTCTATATATGTCTGTATATTGACCAGTACAGCTAGCTGCCAGAGTAGTTGCTGCGACATCATCGACAATCACGTGGGCCGTATTCCTTTCATGTACGTTCCTTAGTGCGTTGGTGGATGTCTGTACGACGCTTTCCAGCTCTACAAATGGGCGTAGATAGCGCTGGAAGTCATTACAGGATAAAACTAGCACTCTGCATACGTGTTGCTAGGGTTTACAAGCCGCTCCTCAGCTAGACAAGCGGCTTGCCACCACACCTGCAGATACGTAGTTAGTACTATATGAAGTCAGCTATAGCCTCAGGGAGCCGAGTTTACAGTGGGGACAGAGGTACCCTGAACCCGCGCCTGCTGTTACGGTTACTCGTTTCTCGAAAACATGGCCTCTCTCTTACGCCCACTTCTTACACCCCCCTTTACCCGTTTTGCAGTGCTCCATTATGGGTTGCCGAAATATCTCCTCCCCTCAAACAACTGCAGGCGCTGCTGACCAGCATAGGTGGGCACACTTGGAGAAAGGGGGTGGTGCGTAAATGTCCGTACCATACTTTTACTCAGTAGGACTTATCACGCCATTGTTTTGAGAGCAGGGTGATGACCACGCAGGCTTTTAACGATAGTGGCAAACGAAGGCCCCTGATGTAGCATTCCAAGAGCTCTTCCCATTTTTACTCCTGTAAAGCGGCACCAAAGGCTGGCCATTGCGAGAGGCTATTGTGAGAGGCATGCCATCACTTTTCTTATTTTTTTTCGTGCACTGTGAAACATGCTTTTTTTTAGACTCGCCAACATAAAGAATAGGAGGGGCGGCAAAGAAACATCACCCCCACCCCCTTCCTCCAATGGGTAACACTGCGGAAGCCCATGCTAGCCGGTGTAAGAAAATCCTTTTAAATCTATGACAAAAAAAAGATCTAGCACGTGGTGTCTTTGAGAATTCTCAGCTGCGTTTCATTATAGGTGTTCTAATCGATCTTGTTGAGAAAACAAATGCACAAATTTCTCGCAGCTAAGTTTGTACTCCGCTTATTTCAAGTGTCTAGTGACCGGTATTCCCCTCTGATGGCATTCAGGCACCGAGAAAATGCGAATAATTTATCAAGACGAATGACAACCGTTGCCTATCAGAAGCAGCACCACGGAGTACGGTGCCCTGTGCCCTTTAACAGGCGTAGCAACGTACACCGAAACACAATGCTACGAGGGAATGCTCGTAGACATGCAGTACGTTAACTGCAATAAAAAGAACATGCACAAGTGCTAGTCTTGTTGGATTGGCTGTCGTGCAGCGTCAAGCACACTAGTCATGCAGCGTCAAGAGGTGCACATATGGCAGCCGTGACGTGGGAGAAATGAACGAAACAGAGCCGAAACGTGCTTGTGTTGTGGGGTATAATTCCACCTCCACAGCAAGGGCTCCTCACAACGATCTCGACTCCAATGGAGTCGGTCTTACACAAGTTGATGCTAATTTTATGCCATGCACATTTCTCACTTTCATCTACCTCTGGCGTCCTAGATTGCGCTTCACTGGGTACTTTTTTGCCCAACGCTATATTACACGGTCCACCCAACTCCATTCTATTCCTCTTTTACAAGCTAGAGGCTACCACCGTTTACTCTTTTATCTACACCGCTCTATCCCCGTCATTTTTAACGGTGAACATTTTCTATTCCATTGTTTGTCGCGCGGTCCTTAGCTTCTCAAACCTATTTCCCAGGCTCATAGTTCCCCGTATGTTCTAGAATACGATGACAGTGTACTTTTTTAAGAGGGTATTGCGAAGGTTCGTCTGGTATATTGCGTCTGGTTTGTCTGCCGTGTATATGAATCTCATGCGAGCAGAGACGCCTATAGAACAAACGGATGAGCAAAAAGACCCCCCCCCCCCCCGTCTCTTCCTTGAGCACCATGAAATACCATGCAGTAAAATAACTTGTTGTTGGGAAGTTCAAAAGTGTTGTGACACGGGCGAGTTGGTTATTCATGAACTTAGCTTGTATTAGCACGGCACACATGAAAAGAAAAGGGGGAAAAGAAGACAGAAACATCTTGAAAGGTGGGGCTAGTTGGTAGAATATTTCAAAAAAATTATTTGAGCTCAAACACACGACACACACACACACAACACACACACACACACACAGGCATCAAATATGCACAGCGCACGACACATTCACGCACAACGTTACTATAGAATAAACTCAGTTGGAAAACACCGGAGAGGTGGGCCGGGTGGCGGTCGCGAGAACTAAGTGATGGTGGTAAACTCTTTATTTTGAAATGAACTAGATAGTTCTTGTGCACCTGAGTGGCAGTCCCTAGTCCGGGACGCCGTTGAAGATCGCCGCTGCCTGGGCGCGCGCCACCAAGGAGCATTGCGTATCCAAGGTAGAGCAGCCGAGCAGGTACTCCTCCCAATCCTCTCTAGATAAGATGGGGAAGGGGGATGAGAAAGGGAGTGGAGTAGCAGGACACAAAGCCACACCATGAAAAGTGTCGGCTAACACTTGACAAGTTGGACACGTGCCAGAGATTTCTGGTATGAAGTGCCGGGCGACCACTGGACTAAGGAAAGTGTTAGTCTGAAGGCGGCGTAGCAGTCGTTCGTGCGTTTTCACCAGACCGCGTGCGGGGCCAGGGTAAAGTCGGCGCGAACTGCGATGATAATCTAGAATACCACTGTACACTCTTTTAGAAAAGTTAGTAAAAAGGTAGCAACTGCAAGCAAATAGTAACTGCAGTAACTACCTTACTTGAACCGTTACTACCCTTTTGCTACCTGTTTACTACCTACGTTGGTAAACAGTTACTAGCTGCTACTGTTACTAACTTTTTGCGACCTGGTTACTACCAGGTTGCAAAAATAATCAGTCAGTAACTCGAATGAAAGAGGTAGTAACTGCCACCGTTACTACCCTTCTTGCCCCATTACTACCGTTTTGCTACCCGGCTGTTCTCTATTTAATCCAAAATAGTGTGTGATATCGATTATGATTACTTATGAGAGGAATCGTCTCGACGTATTATCATTAAACGAAAAAATGGCGAAGAAGATATCTATAAATCAAGAAAATACATTTTGCTTTAAATTACGCAACTGAGATATGTAAACGTTATTCTGGTATTGTCGAAACGGAGAAGTACAAGTTAACGAACCATAGGCAAGTGTACACGCGTTGCAATAAACAATACAACAAACTTGGGAAATTACAGCACATGTTAACAAGAACGGCAGATCAAAATAACCATACGGTCACAATTAGCCCCGAAAACAGTCACAATGAATTCACTGCGGCTTGTCTCTAAACATTATCATTGTTTTGGTGCTTCAAACCCCAAAAACTAGTATTACCTTGTAAACGCTGATATATTAGTCGTGTGAAGCATTCAAATGCACTGTGAAAGAGGTCATAACCTTGTTTCAGCCACTGTCCATAATGCCTTTTTGTGACACTTTTATAATAAATAATTATGACATACAATTTTTATAAGTAAGGCTGCTTAAAAGTCTTGTGCTACGCCCCAAACATACGTAACCAGGTAGTATAATATAGTGCTACAGGTTCAAATTTGTTATAATTCATCCTGAAGCACAAGCGCTCCCTTGTGCCAGACATGCCGCTGCAAAGTAGGGGCTATATATACCCCATGCGTACTTCATTCTACGTGTATGCGTAAAAAGTAGTGAAATTGTGAGGTCTATATATTCTTAGCGCTCATGATACACTACGCTTCATTACCCGAAGTTGTCTAGTAATGAGACATCGAGTGGCAAGCATTAGCAGTGGCGAAATAATATGCCAAAATGAATAAACAAGGTAGTATCGCTCACTACTTTTTTTCTTAAAACCTTTGAAAGTTACTACCCATGGGTAATAATGGCTAGGGTATAGTAACGGTTACTAAATGCTGGTAGTAACAGCAAGGGTAGTAACTGTTACCATCCTCGTCGTTACTAACTGCGCTTACTACCAGCGTTGTAACATATGTGACAAACCAATACTACGCCAAAGTTAGCAAGTACTACTACCTTTTTTCTAAGAGTGTAGCGTGTGAGGCTAAAGTTCCCAGGATCCGACTCGGGGCATGGAAGGGCAGAAGCCCGGAGGAGAGAAGCGCGGGCAGCGGCATTTGCCGCTTCGTTGCCAGGAAGACCTGTGTGGCCTGCAGTGCATACTATTCTTACAGAGTGAGGCATAAAGCGCCAGGAAGCGGCTTGAAGAAGATGAGCAGCCAATGGGGTGGTGAAACCCTGGATGTATCGAGAACATGCTGAGCGCGAGTCACGTGAGCAGTGTGATTAGAGGCAGCCAAAGCGATAGCAACCTCCTCTGCATAAGTTGCACTGTCGGATCCAAAGGAGAGGCCATCGACGTGCGTGGCGGCCCTCTGCACAGCGGCCATGTAATGACCCAAAGTGGAAGGGCCCGAGACGTCTACATAGAATACGCCAGGCCGATCGGAGTGACGTGCTTGAAGGGCAGCAGTACGCGCTTGCCTACGACTGGGGTGTTGTTCGGGGTCCATGTTACGGGGTAGTGGCTCCACCCATAACTTCTGGTGCCATAGTTCCGGTACTGGGGATGGAGGGACTGGGTCAGTGATTGTGCTCAGACCAAGTCTGTGTCGAGCAGGCGACGCCCGGAAGGCGTCTGCGATAGACGATTGAGCTGGTTGGCGCGATGGGCTTCCCGCAGCTCCGCTAAGGAGTGGTGCACTCCCAGAACAGCAAAGCGTCTATTGGAAGTGGCGATGGGAAGGTGCAGCGCACGTTTATACACGGAGCGTAGAAGAGTATCAAGTGAGTGTTCGTGGACACGACGCAGACGAAGGCAGGGTAAGTCATAGAGGACTTGACTGGTCACAAACGCTTGGGCCAGCCGGAGGGAGTGGGTCCCTCGGAGGCCACCACGTTTGGTAGATACCCACCGGATCATACGACTCACTTGTTCGCTGGTGCGTCGGGGGGAGGGTATGGTGTCCTTAGGGTCCAATGAGGACGAAAGGTGCAACCCGAGAATCCGAAGGTTTTGGACTGACGGGGCAGGTCTGGAGGAAAGGAATATCTGGGGTGGTGGTAGGCGTGAAATTGATAGAACGGCCGATTTGGTGGGGGTGCAGTCCAGGCCGCAAGAGGCGGCGTAAGTGTGCACTAGAAGGGCATCCTGTTGTAGGCGTTCCTCGATTTGAGCCAGAGGGCCTTTGTTGGTCAATATTCTTATATCATCGGCATAGAGCGCATGGTGTACCTCCT